AAGAAGAAGAAGAAGAAAAAGAAGAAGAAGAAGAAGAAGAAGAAGAAAAAGAAGAAGAAGAAGAAGAAGAAGACTGTCCCGGTAAATCATCAGGGTACTCACACAGACTTGCGCTTGCCAATACTGCCCTGCGAGGCCATCGATTCATGTGACTCCTCCAGCTCAGGCGTCGTTGCTACAATGTCCGCCAGAGTTTGGTTCAGCCCTGAGGACGGAGGCCATACCCAGAGAGGTCAGAACAGCAGCGTGAAGCATCAGCACGGCTCTCACACCCAAGATAATGTGGATATGTCACATACGCCTATTTGTGCATAAACTGCAGCACGTGAAGATTCAGTGTCTCTGTGTGGATGTGTGTGTGTGTGTGTGAGTGTGTGTGTGTGTCTGTGTGTGTCTGTGTGGGTGTGTCTGTGTGTGGATGTGTGTGTGTGTGTGTGAGTGTGTGTGTGTAGGTGTGTCTGTGTGTGGACGGGTGTGTGTGTAAGCTGTAACAGTCTTCGGTGCCTGTGTGTGTACGTGCCTGTACGTACATAAGTGAAAAACCTGGGTGTTCGTGTTTGAGTATATCTGTACATATGTGCTTTACTGTTGTATGTGTGCCTTGCATACATTAGGAGACATGTTTACGTGTGTACGCCTGTGTATATTGCATGTGTGTGCATGTGAGTGTATTTCTGTAAGAGGACAGTGTATGTAAAAATAAATAAACTAACTTGAAACAATATCTTTCAATCTTTCATGCACTTAAATTTTTTGCTGTCACATTTCCTGGCCCTTTCCTCTTCCTCCTCTTCAACACATTATCAAACTCTTAGAACAAAACCTTCCTTTCCCTTGGTGGCCTAAAATCGATAAGAGTAGGCTTCGGCCGCCACCCGGGCAAAATTCAAAATTTCCTACCAACTGAAAATATTAGGTGTGTCCCGCGCGCTCATATGACCTTATGCAGTTGGGAGCGCCGTAAAACACTTTACAAAAACAAAAAAAAACAAAAACCTTCCTTTCAAGGAACAAATTCATGTCAACAGTCTAGCAGATGACCCACTTTTTACCCAAATCAAACACCTCTTGAAAGTTTCAGTGTAAACATGATTCTACACGACATTAACACAACAAATAACTAATTAAAAAATAATGAATCAAAACTTGGACTGACAAATATAACTTTATGTAGCAAAGATCGGGAGCAGGATTCGTACTAACTACAGCAGGGTGGAGGTAGGAAAAAGGGTAGAGAAAAGGACAATATAAAATACAACACAAGACAGACTCCAGGAAAAAAAGGAACAAGTCACCAACTAGTCTAGATATACAGTCTATGTGGTGTACTGCTGAGATGTAATCGCGTGCAAAACATAACAAGCTAAAACAAAACCAGACTTAGTTCAAAAGGGAAGAAGAGACAGAAAGAAGAGAAAACTGAATGAAAACTCTGACTTAGGAAAAAAACAAAAAAACAACATTCGGTTAAAGCGCCAAAACAGTCCAACTTGAGCAATAAAATAACCCAAACCCTGCTTATATATCCATACTTCAAACAGAAGCTCATTAGAAGAGCCGCTGATACAGCCAGCTCTCACAACACTGGACAAAGTGCAAAATAAATCGCGTACGACAAGAAAATGAAACCACCAAGAGCTGCATTGTGATTATGAGATACATCGTTTTTTGCCATGATACATCGTCTTTCGCCACGGGACAAAACAATAGCAGCACAGGAAGAAAGGAGACAAAACTGTTTCGTGTAAACCTCTTCAAAAGCAAACACTGGCATATATATACCTTACAACCAAAAGAATCTCAAATTATCATGAGCAATTAAAATTTCAGGAAAAAAGATAAAGAAAACTGATCATGCTGAGAAAATCTTTAAAATGTTAAACAGGCTGTACAGAGGTACAGACCTGAAGAAATAAAAGAAGCATTCAATTTTAATAGAACAAAAGTGACAGGTAACTGAACAAATCTTCTGTCAAGAACATACACGAGTGCTGAAAAAGCAGCGGAAATGAAACAAAAATGAAAATAAAACAGTCTGAACTTGCAAGCATGAGGAACACCCTCAAACGCAGAGGAAATGCATAGCACATTATGAAAGAAACAAAAAAAAGAGGAAGGAAGAATGTTATTAAAACTGAAAGTGGATCATCAAAAAACCCAAACCAAATTTTCACAAGCCCGAGCGATTAAAAAAACAGACAAATGTCTGCAAAACTTGTAAAAATTGTTGCAAAATCAGCATGCACAGAAGACTTACCCAAGTCACACGTAGGAGAGCCCAACAGAGCAGGACAGGAGAGGGGCAAGGGGAAAAGGGGCAGGGTCAAGGTCAAAATGAAAGGGAGGGCACGCGAGAGAGAGAGAGAGAGAGAGAAAAGATCACCATGGTCAGATACTGATAAAAATGTGTGACATTACACTGTCTCTTAGGTCGTACAAAGACCTATAGACAACGGAACAATATATGAGCACGCAACGTTCCAATATTCTCAACGCACTCCAACCATCATTCCCTAAGGACATGCTCCACTGCTCAAAGTGTTATGGTCAGAACACGGAAACAATTCTAAAGACTGTAAATCAAACAGGAAGCAGGCAAAAGACACTGAGCGATGTTAAACAGCAACGGACAAAAATGATAGGATGAAACGTTTGGTTATCACAGTGCATGAGCCACTAGATAGCCAGAAATGTAACTCTCTCAGAGAGGGAGATGACAACTGCCATGAAGAAAGAAACAAAAAAAACAACCAAGGACCTCTGAGTCTCTCAAGTCTTTTTGAAGACTGAACCCCCCCCCCCTCAAAAAGTCTGGAGCCATAAACAAGTAGACTTGTGTTTAACTGCAATAATGAGCCACTTAACAAAAATAAGATAGAAGAGTAAGCACAGACACACTTTATAAATAATAAATACGAAGGACAGATTCCTAAAGTGCGGGTGTACAACACAGAACAGCTAACAAAATGACAACATAGAATAGAGAGGATACTCGATATTCCAGAAACTGCCAAAGTCAGTTAAGGACCAAAAAGAAAAAAAAAAAAAAAAAGAAAAAAAAAAAGGAAAAACACACAAAAAAAAGAAAAGAAAACAATTCTTAATTCTTTAACAAGACATGAATGGAGTACAATGAAATTATATGACAATAATAAGATCCGGCTACTAATCCCGCTAACCTTCTAAGATTATATGGTGGTGGCATATGTCATAATATTTCATATGCCAAAAAAAGAGGGGGAAAAAAAAAAGCGAGTCTACTAGCAGAGACACAAAAACATAACCGGATTATCACTTAAAAGTTAGAAGCCAGGAAGCAAGTGGTGATGGGGGAATTTAAAAAAAAAAAAAAAAAAAAAAGAAGAGTGCAGTTGTTGTTTTTTAAATACTTGTGCAGTATCTGCCATACATTTTGTCTCATATTGTAGAGCTCTCAAAAAGACGTCTTTTTTTTAAAAATTTTACTGTCCAAATCTGTAGTATGGCTACTCACCAGGTATATGGTCCTCTTCAAAACTTAATTGGTCTTCAAATCTACTTTCATCCGCCTCCTCTGAACGTTTCTTCTTCCTCCTGAGTACCACGGGAGTGCTCTCCCCTTGCGTGTGGCCAGGCTCGGAGCCCGGCGCCCTGTTTGTGTGCCTATCACTTGAGTCTTTGTCTATCACAGATTCACTTTGCTCACTAGAACTTGCAGACAGTCTAGAGTCTGGCCCTACACTGGGACTTGCGGGTGAGGGAGCTGGGGAGGGGGGCATCGTCGGCTCTGAGGGGCCCTCTGAGATACGCATGGGTGCTGTGGGGGGACGACCATGTGACACATTGTGCGTTGCCATGGCGATCGGGAGTGGTTTTGTTGTTTTTTGTTGTTTTTTTTAAGGGGGGGGGGGGGGTTCGGCACCAGTGAGTTCAGCACAGAAGATGTTGTCGGCCGAACAGGAGAACGTGTCGAGGCAGGAGGAAATGAACAGAGGACACGTGTGTGAAGTCGGCAGCACGGGGGTACACAAGGAATCAAGCGGTGAGGAGGAGGAGGAGGTGGGGATGAGATGGAGAATGGGGGGAAAAAAAAGACGTGGGGCCAAAATGAATGTGAATGAATTGAAAATGACAAACAAATGACGTGTAGTATATGCAAACGTAGCCGCTTCAGCATCAAGGCCCTCATTCGTAACTCTCACAGATTCAATTTACATCTTTAAAAAGTACTTGTTAAAAATCTTTTGTTGTCGTCTCCTGTCTTCTCTTCTTACATTCAAGAAACCTGGGGCATGAGACTTGGAAAGTTATGAGTTATAACCAGTATTCAACTTTGTATAAAAATACCACCCCAACAAACTTCGAATAATCTGTAACTGTATATATGTATATATATACATGTCTTCATCTCAACTATCTACAACAAAATCTTCACAGTGAGATGTAGCTGAAGCCTTGATGCTGCAGCTTTCTATCTACCAGTTCTAATCTACTCAGCACACCATTGTGTATAGAGAGCAGAAAGTGGAACTTTATAGATACACATACTACACACAAAGATATTATATGTCAAGTATGAACAAAATGTCACACATTGTACACAACACCACAATGAACAAAAATAAAAAGGAAAGGAATAGAGGGAAAAATCTATTAAAAACAAGGCAATTACTTGTCCATACATTTTAATTGTCCATAAATTTTAATTACACTACCCCTCTCTCTCTCTCATTACTTCTCTCCTCCACTCCAACCCTTTTCAAACTCGTCCAAAATTTTTTTAAGGACACATCTTGCACAGTCCTCACTTTACATTAATGTCCATCTTTGTATTCTTTTCAAGAACGGTCTCATTAAACGACTGACTTCTTGGTAGAAACAATGTTTATCAGATGTGAAATTTGACTCATTATAGTCAACGGTCTTTTATCAAAATGCTTTTTTAGGGTCAAATTAGGACATACTTTGGTTCCAATTTCTAGAATGGAAGGGAGACATATGATCCTCAAATCATATTCAAACTTTGGGCAACATTAGCCTTTAGGATATAACGAAGTCCAAACCCTTACTAGGCTAACCCACTGAATTCAAAAACGCAAACGCAACACGAACGACCTGCTACAAAAAAATCCTCCAACATCCAAACTTCTACTTCACCATTAACAGAAACACTGTTTGGTTTTGCTACCAGAGAAAAATATGGACAACCTCGTGAGATAATAAGGAACAAAAAAAATGTTTGACTAAGTGCGCCCATCAATAGAATTCAAACAATAAGGCAGGAAACAGAAAACAAAACAAAAAAAGAATTTTCTACATAAAGAGGAAATGTAAAAGGTGTCCAACTACGCATGCAACATGAAACAGCAAAATTTATTGTATGGTTATGGTCATTCAGTATAAATTTACTCAACTCGTTCCAATATACCACCTGCAAGTTGACATGATAATAATAATAATAGACTATTTCTCTGTCTTCGTTTTTAACACAAATTCGGATTTCAAGGTTTTATTAACTCATTTAACATTTCAAGATTCCCAAAAAGAATTGAGAGATTTCCCTATGCTATGATTCATCAGCAGTTGCACTACACAGTCATTTAATCAGTTTGGATGAAACTGCTTTGAGAAGCACAAAAGTACTCCAGCATGCAATGAAACTGACACTAGAGAGCAAAACAAGTAATGCTTTGTTAAAGGCAGACTCTTTCTCGTTAACTAAAATTCATTACACAAAGACCGATGACAATAAAAATAAGTCATGACTGAACCATTATCTTCTTGCAAGTGGCACTTGTTCCTACAACCCAGCCATAGCTTATCCCCTTTATCTTCATCATTAAACACACATTAACAAGACTAAGGAAAATGTATTCTGAAAAATAAGCTTTACCACAAACTTAAGTTGCTATGAAAATTTTTTTTACTACCATAATCTATGTGAACAAATGTGAATGAAGACATGAATGGATTCATTACAGTAACATGTACGTATATATAAAAGGTATTCTTCTAAAAGGAAAAAGGGTAACTATTCTTATCAATATAATTTTCTCTCTTTCAGATTCAAGAAGAAAAAAAAGAAATGCAAACTTCTAGAAAAAGGAGGCCTGCATGCATGACAAACACTTCATTGTGAGGAGTGAATCAAGGACATTGATCATAAAAACAAAAATATCCATTTGTCCAAAACCCATCAGATGCCACATCTAGTACTTTCATAAATGCATTTCCCCACCAAGACAAACTTTGCATACCCATTGAATCAAAAGGGATAAAAGAAAAAAAAAGGACGCTCTATGAGACAGGAAGAACCCACATGTGTAAGTACCCACATGAAACCAATTAACAAAACATTAAAATCTCAACCAGCTGCTCTTAATTTGCATTTCTCTGTCAAACTACAAAAACCAGAGCTCTGTACCTTCAAAAGCAAGTTGTGTTCCATAAATAGATTACTTCACAACAGAATAGATATATACACAAACTAACACCCCCCCCCCCCCCCCCCCCCCAGAAGAGTCACAGAAATTGACATACAGAAAAGTCAGAAGACATGGAATAACATCCACGAGGCTAACCAACCTAGGATAGTAGGGAAAGGTGGAAAATGTTCGTGGACTGATCCAGGGTTGAGAAAAAAAGGCAATGATGACGACCCCCGACCCCCCCCCCCCAATAACCCCCCTCCAAAGAACAAAGAAGAAGCACACAAACGAGTCCTACTTGTGGCTGTGGCTTTCTCCGTGACATCGGTGCTCTGGCTGAGCTCCTCCTTGACCTCTGTGACCGGGGCCTCGGCCGGAGCCGGTGTCGACTCCTTCTTGGGCGACTCCGCGTCCAGCTCGCTCTTGAGGCTAACGTTGCCGGTGCTCTGCGGTGTGCTGGCGTCCACAAATCCCATCGGGCTGCCCTCCATGCCCTTCTGGAACTCCATCATGCCCCCGTAGGCCACACTCACCGGACGCAGCCCCGGGAGACTGAAACCGCCTTTGCTGGAAGCATCAAAGTTATTGTTTGGTACTCTTGGATTTGTGTAAACAGCCTTGAGCTGAGCGTACACGGGGGGGTAGGCGCTATAACAATGATCTTCATTATTATCATTATTGAGAAATTGCAGAGTTGTTTCTGTACAAATGTAAATGGAAACGCTTCGGCACTGAAAGGATTAATACAAACAAAATCTCAATGTTAATGAAAATGTACCTTTGCTAGAAACAGTTAATAAAAAGTAACAAACTTAAATGCATCTTTGCTGGAAACAGTAATTAAAACTAACATAAATTGTTCAAAATTCACATATTTAATTCATGTACCAAACATGAAATAAGAAAACCCACATGATTCTGCAGCTACACCGTTTGAGCCATCATTTTCTTTAGTCTGATGTTTTATCATTATGCAGAAAACATTCACCTAAAACAAGTATTTCTCCAAAATATCACAATGAATCTCACAACCAATTTAATATGCCGAACCATAAAATTTGGCGTATCTAAGGTTTCTGTGAAAGTTACGTCTAACATTCATGACCATCCATGCGCAATCCTGTATTATCTAGGAGGGAACAACACACAAGCTTCGAACAATTCCTAGTCAACACCACATGAATTCAGTGTAACTTGCAAGCGATCTTGGTGCCATTTGAATGTGGTCTGGATAATAAATCCACGGCACCCGTCAACAGTTTGGAATTGCTCTAGACCTGATCTGAACGCCATCTGGACCCAACCTCGATATGACAAACAGTATCTGTGACACCCCCCCCCCAACCCAAAATAATTTGTGACTTACTTTATTCTAGGACTGAGTCCAGTGAGGTCTGATATCTTGTCCGTCCCCATCAGGATCTTTGTCCTCTCCATATAATCCATGTGGGTTCGAAACAGCTGGAAAGAAAAATATAATAATCAAATTTCATAACGTAGAAAAAAAATCAAGCTGAACAAATAAACTTTTATTTTACTTCTGTTTCTTCGACATTCTACTAGACAATAGGTAGGTAATTTTGAGATGTCACGCAATTGAGCGTCGTAATATAAACACCGGGTACAGAGGAATAATTACTCCGATTAACCCTAAAAGCGCTCAGCGTTTCACCGGAAGTAACCCGCCAAAAATGCCCCGCCGACACGGCCGATCAGTTGTAAACATGGGGGTTTGGCGGGGGGGAAACAGCTGAGATACCCGAAATGTATACCTGCTACTGAAAAATGACCATTTACGGCTCAACGGATGATAAAAAGCATATAAAAGCATATATTTTCTTTAAGCTGATAGAATGAGCCATTCAAAAATGATCAGTGATCAAATAAATACAAACAAAGCCGAGAACGCGATAAACTCAACAATTAGTACATCAGCACAGCGAAACAAGTGATAACACATAGCGTGTAGTCGCTCAGCGGGACCGCGTCACTTTATCGATCGATATCTCGGCCAAGAGACGCTCTACGAGGTCAAGATAACTTGCAAAGTCATTGGTCACTATATATAACTTTGGCCTGTAATTGACTACGTCATTTTCCATATAAGGAACACTGGAATTTTCCATTGAAAAGGCTCAGCGTCTATGCCCTTTATATAGGGCCTGCGCGCTTCCCGGTCGCAGTAGGTCAGCCTTATATATAGGGCGTGTGCGCTTCCCGGGTAGCCCGGCTCACGCCCTTTATATAGGGCCTGCGCGCTTCCAGGGTTAAGGATGAAAACAATACGGTACCCACTTTAATCCAAGCCACGGGTCGATTTCATAATACTGGAAACAGCAAGCAGCATCTTCATTTCCACAGAGCATAAACAAACATTGAACATTATTGATTGTCTCAAAAAATACAAAACATTGAACAAATACTATAACAGCACCAAGCCTATTTCGTCATCAATGACCATATATTGTAAATGAAAATTAAGACTATAGGGAGGGAGAATGAAACAAAAGTATGCAAAGGCACCGAATTACGTCAACGCCAGATTGATCCCCATCTGTTATAGCAGCAAGGTCAGTGAATTGTGCAAAATACGAGCATTTTGTACAATCATTTGAAAAGAGACTTGAGCTGGAAATACAACATTGTGATCATAAATTTATTCCAAACACATACCTCAGTGTATCTTTCATGGAGTTTGTTGTATTCATTTTTCGATTCATTCTCTTTCTCTTCAAGTCGACTCACTGAAATCATGACAAATATATGACGAAGCATTAGTTACCTTGGTGCGAATTTGAGTGTGTGCTGAGTTTATTTGCATGGATATATTGCGAGTACAAATGTGAGTGTGTGTACATTGGAGTCTGCATACGTATGAAAGTATGTACATGGTGTGTGAATATGTGCGTGTGCGTGTTAGCGCATGTGAAGAGTGAGTGTACTCATCTTCATTTTCAGTTTCATATCATTGGAAAGCTGTTCAAGTTTAAATGTGCTAAACTCAGAAAAGTAAAATTTTTTAGGACAGAGAAAAATAAATGGTATCGTTCTTTTAATTTTTGTACCTTTACATGATATGTATCTTTTCTCACCCCCCCCCCCCCCCCCTCGCCCCCCAACATTTAGAATTTGCATTTCGGCAAAATATTTCTTAGGTGCATACACCTGATACCTGAGATAGGGAAGCTGCAAGGCAAAAAATAAAACAATTTTTGGATTCATACATCTGAACAACTGGCCAACATATAAGATACAAGTGTGTGCGCGTGCGTGTGTGTGTGTATATGTGTGTGCGCGTGTGTGTGTATCTGTGTGTGTATTGAGCGTGTGTGGGTACATATGTGAGTATACAAGAGGTATGAGTGCATGAGCACATGCCCACACATCAGCAACAACTTGCAAACTAGGAACAAGGCCAAGTCAGATCATCTTGTCTATATGTGAAGACAGACTAAATTAGTCATCTATCAACTTATTATTGCTGAAAATAACCATAACCCCTAAATGATGTTTTCTCCCGAACGTATTTAATTTTATCAGAGACAGTAACACATGCTGATGGACATGAAAAATTGTCTGACACTTGAACGCCATGCTTTTCATACAGAGGGAACACTAAGAATGTTGCTATACCGAATACAATTTTTCAAGATTTTTTTGCATATTCTCTTTTTTTTTTTTACCCCACCTTAACATCATTCTTGTCGAATAAAGGCATGTCTTTTTATAATGTAAGTATACACAGGAGTCACTTTACTTAAAACTTCAAAATTATAAATTTTATTACCATGGTCTGCAGAATTTTTTGCTTTGATCTCAGACATGCGAAGGATGGACTCAAGTGTCTCCACTTTGTCCTGCAGCTCTTTCTTCACACCCTCGTTTGAGTCTTCCATCTCTAGGTATTTCTGAAATAAATTTGACGAAAAGATCAATTTAAAAGAAAGCCCTAAAATATTTAGAACATTAATTGAAAACAACATTAATTTTCAACCAATTAAGAGAGGTGCAAAAAGACATTTCGAGTTATCACTGAAGTATTAAAAGTGGCAAATCAATACCAATCACATTACCTTTGGAAGAATAATGAACCAGGAGTTTGAGTAAAGAGAGCATATAAAAACGAAAATGGTCATGTAGTCCGGGGAAAAAGTAAGACAGACTGACAGAAACAACAAAGGGAAGGTAAAGAGGTAGGACCTACCAGTGACATCCTCCAACCAACTACAATAAATTAGGATCATAGAGCAAACAAAACTAACACTGAATCATGTTATCACAAAATGACAAGGTCCTTTCAACACAACTACATGAATGCATCAAGTTGTTTATATTGATCCAGACATAAAATCAGTCATCATGATGTGTCAGTGTCGGGTACAAAATCTTTTTCTAGGTCATGCCACACGTCCAGATGGTGCTGTGAACGGACAGTAAGGACCCCCTAACATCGAAACATTTTTACCAGTTAAAATTGTAATCATTATAAAGACTAGCCTGATGCCTACATTCATCAAAATATTAGACAGAGTAAATCATACGCCATCCTACCCCCTTCTTTTCTCTCAAATTTAATGGATTTATCTTTCATTCTCCAAAGTTATGTATGCCATGTTACACAGAGTACACTGCATTTGTTAGCAATGACACTATGACTGTTTATATTTCATCTATATTTAACACTTTGTCTCCCACAAAACTCTGTGCCAAAGTAACTGGCAACTTCCATCATCGACACAAACCACCCACCCTAACTTAAAAACTGAGACTGAGAACTTTCAGTATCCAAACTGTTTTAATGGAACCGAGATCTTCCCTTTCAGACCAATTGGAAAAAAAAGTTTCCAACCCGTATGTATCGGATAAAAAGCATTACTTTGCTGTGTTGGGGGGGGTCTTCCATAAAAAAAAAAGACTTGCCACAAGATTGAAACCACCTTCTTTCTGCCACTCTGACAAAAAACTATTCAGGTGAGTAGCCAAAACAATAAGAACAAAACTCACTTTGAATTTGAATGTCATGGCCAGAAATGCAGAAAACTCACAGAAGTGAATTTAAAAAAGGCTCCTTTAAAAAACAGAAATAAAAGGGCAGTTGATTTTATTTTCTTAGTAACTTAATATAGATTCTAAGTTAAAACACCACTGACTTCATTTCTTCCCTTACTTTGTGACTTTGTCAGTACCATCAGAGAGGAAAATTTAGTCAACCCAACAGCCAACAGTGAACCTCAGTTAGTCATGAACAATACAATACATAATCCCGCAAACTATAGAAAATAGAGCTTCCCAACAAGGTAAATTAAACGAAATAGCTCCAAACTTGTTCTCTGAACAGGGTGGTGGATCATCATGGAATTTTTACTGCCATTTCTTGGCAGTAAAACAAGAATTAAAATTCAATGCCAATGATGTGCTAGACAGCAGTGTGTCAGATTAATCACTTTTGGAAACTGTCCCCAGTTTACCTTTACCCTAAATGATATTATTATATTATATAGGCCTATTGTAATACTTGGTTTTGTAGCTAGAAATCTAGACCTAGATCCTAATCTAGACAGTAGGCCTATTATAAGAAGTAATAAGACTGCTAGTGCTTACCTGTTCTGACCCTTTCCTCAGCTGTTTTTCCCTTTCATATTGTGTAAGGAGTTGTTCATTGTCTTCCCTTAACAATTCTATTTCTACATCAAGTTCCTGTTTCTCAGTGAAAGCAGAGTCCAGTGTTTCCAATATCCCAACAACAAGTGGCATTAGGTCTTTCACGACATCCTCGTCGTAACGTTTGATGACTTTCTCGAACTCCTTGTAGACAGTGGCTGCCAATGACTGAACTTTCTCAGACATTACATGGGTCTCTTCATGAGTCCCATATATTGTCTCCGACGCCATCTTACCAGACATAATTGAAAACGATAGATTTGACTAAATCAGTACTGTGCAGAGCACAGTTTTAATTAAAACGTGGCTATTTTTATCAGTGACCAACATGCGACGTCTATTATTTTGCTCATCATTCATAACACATCATCCTCCATATTGTCTACGGTAGTCATCAAAGTCATGTGATCACGCATGCGCCCCTAGTACGGAAGTTGAAGTTAAGCGAAAATGGCTGGAGTTCAGTGTTTACGTCTACTAGGACTAAGGCGACTGCCTGCTGCCTATTCCATTTGCTCATCTAATGAAAGACATTATTTCGTAACGCCAAAGAGACATATTCATGAACGTATATTGAAAGGTCAAGTTGTCAGAATTGGATGTGCAAGCGGATTTTGGGGAGACACCGCCTGTGCTGGTTCGTATCGTAAGACAAATTATTCAGGGGTGAAAGTCCAGAGAGAGTGCCGAAATTAAGACTCTGGATTGCAGTTGAAGTAGTATAGAAACCGAAAGTAGATGCTGAACTTTCGATATCTTGTGTTCATGCTCTTTTGTAACCATTGTATTTTTTGTCCTATAGGTCTATTATATTACGATTTGAAGAAGGGACGTTCTTTTTCTCCAGTCTTTTATATTTGTTCTGTTGGCCCTTCCTATAGATCTACAGCCTACATTTCAAGATCAAGCTGCAGTTTTATGAATGTTGGCTTTAATAATTTGAAGTATGTAATCTAGATTTAGTGTGTATAAATTTATATTAAAAACTTAATGTAGCAGAAATGCGTATTTGTAACTTACTTTAGGCTTATATGGCTTTATAGTTGTTTTTTATTGAACTTTTCTCATGTTTAAAAATTCAAATCAATTTTTAAGTTATAAATTGTTTAGATTGTGACCAGGTTTCCTTTTATAATTGGTAGCGTCAATTGCCCCCCAGTGACAAAAATTGACTTTTTGTCAATTGCCACCGAGTGAAGTGGTGTCAAGTCAGAAAACAACACTATATTTAGCATTTATGCATAATGTGTGTCTAATGGGTCAATTTGTTCTCAACTAATTTCATTGGACGAGCATCTAGTCTAGAGCTACGATACCAACTTGGCGTGTTTTCAATGGGACGTAGGCCTAGATCTAGGCTAGCCTTAGCCTACACTTTGGTGTAGAACCAACACAGGCAATTCTAGCTAAGAAGTAGAAGGTACATTAAACGCACTCAAACTGAAGCAGAAATTCACGTTATATCGGGGAACATAAATCGGGGGACGGGGGTCAGGAAAAGACACACACACACACACACAAACACACACACACAGACACACACACACACACAAACTCACATACACACAAACACACATACACACACAGAGGGACAGAGAGGTGAACACACAACACCGAGCACTCGGGCACAATAAGCTAGATCTACCCGCCAACGCAAAAGAGCTCCAATTTACTCTGTGGCAATTGACAAAAAGTCAATTTGTGTCAATTGCCACTGCGTCACTCGGTGGCAATTGACACTACCTTTATAATATACTATAGGCCTACATGAATATGGTTGTTTAGACTATAAAGTTGCAGCCATGATAGACTGTCCTCTCAATGCTCTCTCGTACTGTACATCATACCACAGAATTGTTGACTTCCCAATAAACTTCTATCTCAAATCTATACTCCCATTCCTAACCCAGATTTAACCCTAAATAATGTTAACAAAACTAACTCTAACATTTTAAGTAGTCAAAATCTAAAGTTTAAGTGAGAAAGTGAACTTTTGCAACATAGTACAGAAGTTATCAAGATAACTTCAGAAGTTGAAAAGTTTAAGGGTCAACTTGTTATCAGTTGGATGAGCTTGGTGACCTGATAGCTAACTGTGTTTCGCCGGACTTATGAACAGATTTAGAGCTTAGGCTATGGTGAAGAGTATGATAGTATGGTACAGAGTCCCCTAATATCCTTCCACAGTACTGAAATAAGCACAGCGACATACTTAGATTAACTTGCTATTGTCTGGTGCTCAAAAGCTAGCCCCACGAGAGTATATAGATTACTGGACAATGAATCTCTGCCTGCACTTTTGTATTGAACCCCTCTTGATTGTTTGAATAATAAACTCTCTGGATTTTTTCCCCTTTTCATTAGTCATATCCCAGAATGGGAGAAGAAATATCAGAGGTCATTTAGACTTCCAAGCAGGCACTGTCAAAATCATGAAAATGCAACATTTAAATGAAGCTGGTCATGGTCCTGGTTCAGATATAGTGCACAATTATTTCACAGGTCATGCACTCCTAGCTAAGTACGTAACTATGTTTTGAGCAGCTTCGTTTTGCGAAAATGTGTCATTGAAAACCATTTTAAATACATCATTTTAAAAAGTAGATTGAACCGATTGAACCTGTCATTGTTTAGTGAAACATTTTATCTTCACTGAGACTCCTTTGAAAAAAAAATAATAAAAAAATCTCGATTTGTTTGCTTGCTTGATAGTAAAATTAACTGGCGATGGTGGGGTGTTAAGTTGGATTTCCTTTCAAAAACTGCTTTGAATTTCATCAAAATCTTTTGACACAAGGCAGATTTTTAAAATCAGTATATATAAAATGGAAATAGCAGTAACCTTTGTTTTCTTTAAAATGAAGAAAAATAATTTTTTCAGATTACAGGACTATCAAAGTCTGTTTCAGTA